CGTAATTAGCTATAATAATACTTAAACGATCTATATTCTAACTATTAAAGTATTACGGTTAATAATTAAACTCAAATATATTAATATCTATTGCTACTAATTACGGTAAGAAATTATAAAAGGAAGGATTACAGTCGAATATTTAGAAATAAAGAAAATGCTAGTAGACGGTTTAATAAAGGTATTAGAATAGTTAGATTACAAGAAGTTCCGGGGTTTAATAAAGATAGCGAATATACCGGTTCGAAAAGAGATGAAAATTAGGAAGGAAGTTCCCGAAGATATTTTAGAGGATACTTATAATTTAACTAGGGAAATTAACGTACTAAAAGAGAGAAAACTATAAATAGCTTCACTTTTGCCCTATTTTAAGAAGGTCTGCAAGTGAGGGGGTATATTAGATTAGAGGGTGGATATTTGGATTTCTAGCTATATTCAATCTGGGTTAGCCGCCCAGCCCCCTAGATTACTGGTTTCTAGGTCCCTCTGGGATACTCTAGCACCCCCCAGACCTTCTGGGCGAGTTAGTTACATACACTCTTCAATCAATCAATTCTGCACAGTCAAATCTAATAACTACCACTCTATAGGGAGGGGGGTTTGAGTGGGAGGAGAGCAACGAGTGGGAGAGAGGCACAATAGGACACGTCCAGAGTTTCCCTCTTCGCTCTCCACGGCTTCGATCCCGTCCAATAACATATCAGCCAAGACGGATGAAATATCAGATCCAGGTTGTTGGTGTGCCGTCGAGCCCCAGTTGCAAGCGGACGAGCCTGGTTGTGCCTCAACAAAAAGGGTCGATATGCCGGTCGAGGAACCAGGGACGACGGCCGGACGAAGGCTCCTCGATGCTACTCGAACCCTGCAGCCAAGCCGTCTTGGCGGCCGCGGCTGGATTAGGTTGGCGGGACCAGTCCAACCAAATGAGTCCCAAATCCCCTGCTGTTGTCGTTGACCTTTCCGCCTTCCCCAGGTCAACAAGTTTCTTTTTCTTCCCCAGTGAGGCCCAGCCAGAAGTCGTATCGTACCCCCCCCCCCCCCCCGGTCCGGGCTGTCCACCACTCAGAGGCCGTCTTACCTCATCCTTAAATGGCTGGGTATTATTAACAATAATACCCCATACTGTTCGCTTCATGGTGGAAAGATGGACCATTCCATCCGGATGGGATCGGTGAGCCAAACACAAGTGCAGCTGGCTTATCAGAACGGAGTACGGTACCTGGGAAGGTTGCCCAGTCTCTGCCAAAGAAACACGCATGCTGTATTCGGCCTCAACCAACGTCCCGCTTCTCACCCCTTTTTTCTACACCCCCAAAGTGATTACTTACCCGTGTTTGGCGAGCACGCATGTTGGATAGTGTACGGAACCGCTTCCGGAACGCTGCCGACAACATTTCTCGGCAAGACGGGCCTTGCTCACGAGTCGGTGTAAGTGACGGTAAACTGTACGCTGCTGTCCTCTGTTTTCTGGGGAATCAAAGGAGCTGCCAGAGTACGGTAACGCTTGTGTTCCCTCAGATCAGAGACATGCTCCGCCTGTTGGTCTCAGTGGACTGAAACCCCCCATGTTGACATGAAAGGGGAGCCAGGGGGCCTGGGCCAAGCTACAGGAAACCATGGGGAAGCCATGTCTCCAGGATCATCCAGCAATTCGCATACCCTACCTCACTGGTACTGGAGTAATGTCCTGTCCACGCTTGCTAACCATGTACATGTACTGCTTAGTGTAGCACCCACTAGCCACGATATGGTGTTCTGCTGTACCCCCCTTCAACCACCTACAAGGTACCCTGGTACCCCTGTTCCTATTTTCCATGTGCTTGGGTGTCCGGCCCTGCGGATGAAAGACCTCCAACCTCAAGTTTGACTTGCCCGACTATAAGGACCGGAGCATCCTCATCTGAAACCCCTTTCTTTGTGTGTTCTCTCTCTTCTCTCCAGGGAATCGGCGGTCCGCTCCATTCAGTCATCCTCAGACACCCGACACCTTCATACCAACCCAGCCGTCCTTCACTTCAACACCTATCCACACCTCATAGGTAGAGCGAATATCATCACAATCGCCCACCATGGCTGCCGACCACGACGCATCCGGACGGGACGTCCCGACGACTGAGAGCTCCAGCGTCAACAACGAGAAGACTCCCATGCCCGAGTACACTGAGAACATCCATGTGGAAAGTGCTGGCTGGGACGAGCAGAGGACCAAGAAGCTGCTTCGCAAAATCGATAGCAGGCTACTCCCCTTCCTCGCCTTGCTATACCTCCTATCCTTCCTCGACCGTACAAATATCGGCAATGCCAAGCTCGAGCTCCTTACGCAGGACTTGAAGCTCACCGGCCTCAAGTACAACAATGCGCTTGGCATCTTCTTCCCCTTCTACGTCCTTGCTGAGGTCCCCTCCAACATGGCCATGAAGCGCTTCCGCCCCTCCATCTGGATCCCATCCATCATGATTGCCTGGGCTATTTGCTGCACCCTTATGGGCGTTGTCAAGGATTACCATGGCCTGATGGCAGTGCGTTCTTGCTTGGGTCTCGCCGAGGGTGGTCTCTTCCCTGGTATTACCTACTAGTACGTATCTCCTTTTTTTTTTTTTTTTTTTTTTTTTTTGCCGTTAAGTCGCAGTTACTAACCGTATTCAAGCATCACAATGTGGTACAGGCGTCACGAGTGCGGTTTCCGCATGGCCATTTTCTTCTCTGCTGCTACCGCCGCCGGTGCTTTCGGTGGTCTTCTTGCTCGTGGTATCCTGGAGATGAAGGGTGTCGGTGGCTACAATGGATGGCGCTGGCTCTTCATCTTGGAGGGTATCTTGACTTTCATCATTGGTATGTTGCCCGTCTTGCTTTCTTACGCGGTTCGTTTTCTGACACATCCTACCAGCCGTCACTGCCTACTTCGCCATGTACGACTACCCTCAAACCGCCAAGTTTCTCAAGCCTGAAGAGCGCGAGCAGATCGCCGCCCGTCTCAAGCTCGATCGTTCTTCCCTTGCCGATGAGTTCGACATCAAGTACTTCATTGCTGCCCTCAAGGACTGGAAGATTTGGGTCCATATGTTCATCACCATTGGCGTTTACACTGGTTTGTACTCGTACTCGCTCTTCGTGCCCACCATCATCAACAGCATCGGTACCTTCACCCCTGAGCAGAGTCAGCTTTTGACTGTCCCGCCTTATGTGGTGGCCTGCCTTTTCTGCATTAGTGCCGGTTGGTATGCCGATAGGCTCAAGCAGCGTGGTATCTTCATGTTGTTCTTCATGGGCATGGCGTACGTATCCCTCCATACCCACCTTTGGAACACTTACTAACGACTGAGCAGTATCATTGGCTTGATCATGTTGATGGCTACCAGGAGCCCCGGTGTCCGCTACCTCGGCTGCTTCTTCCTCGCTTCGGGTATCTACCCCAACGTTCCCCTGGGTGTCGCATGGAACGGCAACAACATTGGCGGCTCGCTCAAGCGTGGTGTCGGTATTGCCATGCACGTCGGTTTCGGCAACCTGGGCGGTGTCGCCTCTTCCTACCTCTTCCTCAGCAAGCAGTCTCCCCACTACCACCAGGGCTTTGGCACCCTTCTCGGCTGCCAGGTCATGGCTTTCTGCTTGTCCCTCTTCATGACCATCTACCTCAGGCGCGAGAACGCTCGCCGTGACCGCGAGTACAAGCCCCCAAGCGAGTACACTGAGGAGGAGAGGGTTGCCGAGCGCCATAAGGGTGACAACGCCACCTTCTTCCGCTACACCGTATAGAAGTGTCCACATGGCGTGATGTTTGGACTCTCTTTACTATTTACGACCTTGGGTTTTGTCATGATGGGAGATATGATATGATGGGACATGGACATGGGATGGATACGAGTACATATGATATGGGACTGAACATACGGTATATGTTCATTGACGACTCGATTGTTTGATGACATTTGGGGTCGTCTGTACCATGCCTTGTACATGTTTATACTTATACCTTACGGATTAATATGGGGCAGTGGCACTGGGAGGGTTATGTTATGATTGTTATGGAAGGGATACCTAAGATCTCCTGTTGGATAGATCAAAACTACTTTTTGGATATATATACCACGATTATACCTACGTATTACACATGATTATGCGCGTTCTACTTGCACTTCTTAATCATTATGAGGTGTCACTGTACTCGATATTCTTGTTCGCTTTATATCACTTCCCTATAGCTGGTGAGATTAGTTTATGCCTCAGATATCTCGGACAGTGATTAGAAATGAAGCATACGGATTTCCCTCCTCCGACCCAAACGGATAGGGGTCCAAAGAAGGCTCGACGAGTACCTCTACCTATGCGCACGTACACTTGAAGAGCCTGCTTGTACGTCACATTTCAATTGTACGCGCTCCGTGCAAGGGCTTGGCTTATGTTAGACATGTTAAGCCAACTCAAGGTATCCCCAGTCTCGATAGATATGACCGACGATGCCAGGTGGTGAGCCACACACGATCAATATAAAGAGTAATAGGGCTGGGTCGGGGGAAATATCAGCTGATGATCGAACGTTGTACTGAGCAGAGCTGGAGCTGATGGCATGTTGTTTTATCAGATGGTTTCCCGGTCTGGAGACTTGTGGTCAGAGCATCTACTACCTATCAGGGACACCCCGGCAGAGCTTGGAGACTGCCACCAAAGGGAAACTGCCGATCGACCTATCCGTTCCTGGTGCCAAGGAGTTGGAATAGCATCGGATGTGTTCGTGCGAGGCACCCAGCCAGTTGTGGAAGTCGACACCCACCCGCCACCAATGTCATGTGATTATCCTCCTCGATGGGGCGTGGCCAGATCTCTTCTCTTCGTTTTGTTTTTTTGTCTTACGAACCTTCCAATTCGGCAATTCCATCCATGCTTCACCACCCAGGTAGGTCTCGAAGGTCAAACAAAGTCTGCTGTTTGCTAATCTGCGCTAACACGTATCATACGGGTCGTATTATAGGTCCATATGTAATCCTGGGCTTCTAAACATTGCCCGCATGGCTCAGTGGTAGAGCGCATCACTGGTAATGATGAGCTGGTTCTGAGACATGCAGGCACTTGCACCAAATAAAAATCCCCCGAAAATGTCGGCACCCGATGCGGGCCGTGCAGGCACCTATGGTGGACAAGGCAATGCAGGCACGAGTGAGATTGATTTGCCAAATTCTCTACATATGCGAGATGCGGTCGGAGTGCAAACCGAATGAAGACTGCGGCCGTCGCGACTGGACTCGAAAGGAAGTCGATGCCTTGGTGATGTCCGCGACTGACTTGCTCAAACACCTTGCAATATCAACAGTCGCTGCCACGCAGCACCGTTCGACGAACCGAACCCACGATTCGGACATACGGCGACCCACCTCAAGTCTTGCCAACCGAAGCACTTCAACCCTTTGCATTATTGTTCCTGCTAAATCAACAACACGGCAGAATATTGAGGTCCTGCCCGGACACTACCATGGCTTTGCTCGAGCTCCTTGCTCGGCCTGCCTACCTGGCGCCGGTCGTGTTGCTCTTCGGATTCATCGTCCACCACCTGTCTCTGAAGCCCTCCAACCTCCCAAAACTCCCAATCATCGGTGCAAAGGATGGTTGGTCACTGGTTTCCCCTTTAAGACCTGTTCGGTTGCACGTTAGTACGTTCCCAGGTTAAGATTTTGTATGTAGGACGTACTAACGTACTACTGCGATTTTTCGTGTTCGGCTTAAAAACCTTATTTTTTATACACACCCTGCAACCACCTGCAACTACCTACACCTACCCCAAATCCTCGATCTGACTAATTAGAAGGCTAGAATCTTCGAAATCCTTAACCGTAGTTCTTAACGTACTACGTCTCAAAATCGAGCCGTAGTACGTTAAGGACTGCGGTTAAAGATATAACTATAAGGCTCAACCCCCTATAAATATAGGGGATGGCCGTCGCAGCAAAGCCTAGATAATGGATGAGGCTATTTCCAATTGAAATCTACTATTGAAGTAACGATGAGAAGGATGGAGATGATGAGAAGGATAGAAATAATAAAAAGGATAGAAATAATAAGAAGGATGGAAATAATAAGAAGGATAGTAGTATTAATAAAAAGGATAGTGGTGATGATAATGATAATAAGGATGGTGGCGTTGATAAAAAAGATGAAGAAAGAGAAAGAAAGAAAGGTAGAAAGGAGGAGAGCCCTCCGATTCCAACCTGGAATGTTAAGCACCTCTTTCCATCTTGCAGCCAAAGTCTTGGCCTACCTTAACGCTGCCTTAATGTTGCAGGATTGCAGCGGCGGACCCTGCACGTTAACACGTTTATTTCTTAAAATCCCTAACGCGGACCCCAACAGGTCTTTACCAGGCCCGATGGCGAACCGTGCGACACTTCAGTTCGAAAAGGCCCTCCGGGAGACGGAACGCAAGCACAAGAACGAGACAGTCATATTACCCTTGGCTGCCCCGGTCAGAGACACAGTTCGTCATCGACCAACCTGAGAATGTCCTCAGTTCGCACGTTCAGTCGACCGACAGACAACCTCGAACTTGAGTATACCGTTATCAAGCCAGACATTGTCCATGATTCACCACGCTACTCAACGTTCTCGTCTCAAACAACCTTACGAAACAAATCGGCAATCTTATTTCCAGCATGTTGGAAGAGATAGTCTGGGGCTTTGACGAGAAATGGGGCAGTGACACCGAGTATAGAGGTAAAGATGTATGTGTCTACGAAACGACGAGGCGCCTCAGATCATCGGCCACGCCACCAACCGCGTGCTCGTTGGAAAACCGCTCTGTCGAAACCCAAAGTTATGGACGCCGAACCGAACAACTTCCTCCAGTGGTCAATCGCACAAGCAAAAGCAGTGGGAGATCCCTATCTCTGGTCGCCGACCACTCTCACGATCCGGCGAGGATGTTGAGTGATGTGAACTACTACTGTCTGAGCGACTGGGAAGCTTTGTAGAGAATAAGCTTTACACCAATCAGCTTTCGTCAAGACTGCACATAGGCGATGGTATCAAGGTAGTAAACGTTCATAGCACAAAGTAGCAAGAGAGATATCAAAGAATTTGTTCATGTTCAGAGTGTAATAATTAGGTAATGCTGAAACAAGATGGGGGTATCCGAACTTCTCGTCGCTCATCAATCGTATCCAGCCAAAACGCCGGCCAAGAACGATGTGAACGACGTGCTGCCAAAAGAAAAGAAATTATAGGTCGTAGGGTACTCGTGTACTTTGTAATTATACCCGCCCATGCATGACCAGGCACGGGTAAAGGACAAAGGCAACTTCCAGCGCCTCTCTTCCTCTCTTCTTTTCTTCCGTCAAAGCACCTGTTCTTCCACGGGAATCCACCAGGGAACTCGTTAAACCATCTGCTCGCCCACAACACCATTATGATGGAACGGCCCACCAACACCGTTACCAGCCACGGGCTTGCGGTTAATCGCCGAAGCACCACCGCCATAGCCACCATGGCCACCATAACCACCACCAGCATACCCATGCTTATCATCAAACGGGAATCCAGCACCGGAAGTGCCCCAGCCAACCTGCCTAGTGAAAGTCGCGCCACCGAGCTCCATATCATCACGGCTACCAAAGGGGAACGGGTTGGACCTGTTAAGGGGGATATGGTTGTACCTCCAATCCCAGATACTCGCATACACCATGCGATAAGCGCTAAAAGCCATGATGGTGCCGATGATCGCGCCAGCGAGGACGTCATACCAGTGGTGGAACTCGTCGATGGTTAAAGCACCGGCAATCAGGCACGCGCCGAGCACGGGGGCGTAGACGGCCGCGAGCTTCCAGAGCGCGGGGTGGTAGTTGGAGAAGACCTTGAGCTTGGCGTTCAGGTACAGAGCGAGGAAGATGAAGCCGGCGAAAGCAGCGGTGGAGTGGCCTGACGGCATCGATTCCAAGGAATCGTCAATCTCGTCGGGGTCGCCGGTGCAGATATCCTTGGTGTAGTAAATCTGCGCGAAACCCTGCGCACTATAACCGGCCTGGGCAATCTGGGTGTTGGTCGCGCGGGAGATGTCGGGCTGGCAGACGGTCAGGAAGTGAGGGCGAAGACCACCGATGAGCCACTTGATGAAGACCTGGAAGACGGCCGCCGTGATCAAGGAGTAGAGAAGACCAAGGATGCCGTTGTTGACGTCCCAGAAGGAGCGGATGCGGATCTGCATGCACAGGATGATGAAGATGGGGATCATGGCGGCGAGAAAGGCGGCCAGCCAGATGGGGATGATTTCCTTGCGCATGGGGTAGGCGAATTGCGGGTAGACTACTTCGCCGTCGGAGAACTGGACGGCGAAAGAGCGGGAGGGGGCGGGGTGGGCGTAGTAGACCTATTGCGATACTGGTTAGCATATTGGGCAGTAAGGCGAGGAAAGAGTAAGAGCTTACGCCGAGACCAATGGCACCGAGGATGACCATGGTGAGAACGTCGAGCCAGGTGTACTTGAGCCACTGGCCAAAGGTAGGCCTGGTGGTCATGGTGTAGGGCTCAAAGCCATGGCGACGAGCCTTGCGCTCCTTGTGAGTGGTGTGGTGGCCGTGGGTGCCGTCAGTGGCAACGGGGGGTGCAGTGCCATCCACGGCGCGGGGTTGACGGTTGAAGAAGCCCATCTCTGATGTTGTGTGGTTGAGTGATGGTGATGTCTCCCTCACTTGTTGTTGTTGTTGCTGTTGTGAACTCGCAGGGTATCACCACTGGATGTGGATGGCAGCCCTTTGTTCCAGTAAACTGTCTGTTGGATGGATCAGAAAAAAGAAGTCAGAAGTGTTGGAGTGGTGGTGAGCCGGTGATGGTTTATAACAACAAAATTTACCAAAGAACCTGCGCGTTTGAAACAATGTGAGCGTTTGTGGGTTTGACGTCATATTGGAAGATGGGATGGTTGGTTGTGTGCCTGTGAAGTGGAAGTGAATGGTCAAAGGTGAGGTGGCTGAACGACTCGTTTCCCGTCCGTCTGTAATAGGCAAGCGAGAGTGACTGTGTGCCCATGCTTTCGTGTAAGTGCCCGTTGGACATTCCATGGCAGCGTTTGCACTCAATTCTTCTGCAGTGAGCCGCTCGGGTACCCTGGCTGATTTCATGTGAACCTGTAGTGAACCTGGGCAGGCACGGTGGGTGGTACGTCGTTAGGCATGAAGCTAAAAGAAGCCCCTTCCCTGTTCACACCTTTGACGCTACGGAATTAGGTCCGTGAATTCGACGCACGGCAGTCAAGTGATTCGGCCGATCCCGAAGCCAAAACATGAGAAAAAGTCAAAGAGTCCCTTGCAAAGACTGGACCTTTGAATCGAAATGTTGTCAATTTTGTCACAGACTGAACAAAAATGGAAAGCTAGGACGGAACTAGGCAACCAACAGGGCACTCACCCTGCCGCGAAAAAAGGTTACATTCATGGGTTGTTTCTTGAATTTGACTTTTTGTTATGACGGTCCAGACCACAATTGAGGTGGTCGTCATGTTTTGATGTCAAGAGAGAGAAATTGATGGTCCTGACCCTGCAGTGACTGAACATGTTAACAAGGAAGAGCCTGTAAGTTACCGTTTAAGCTTTCAGGGGACCGCACTCCACCAGTGACATCACTCCACTCAGCACCCACACCACGCGGAATTAAGAGGCCCAAATACCTGGCAAACTGGGCACCCGTTGCTTGAGAATGTGACCAATGAGAGGGCAGAAAGCAGAATGACATCAAATAGCCGATAAGAAGCAATCGATAAGGTGATAAGGTAGGTAACCCCTCCTCTGACGAAAGCTCCCCGCCGCAACCTAAGTCAACCCCTCACCGCCGTTCGCTTGTCTTTTCCGACATGTTGGTCGAAGACGACAGACAATTAAACCAGCACCACAGCACCACACCAATGCAACCATTCAACAATGCAACAACAGTCCACAATTAATTTGAACATGGTTTGGAGGGGAATCGAATTGCTATCTCTATCAGGTGTGTGTTGTGTATCTGCTTTATATAAAAATCCAAATGCTAAACCCTCCCAAATTGTATGGCTCGCACTCACTCTCTGTAGCTGCTCTAGCGGGAGAGAGAA